AAAGCCAAATACTTCCCCCTGTGCATTATTCATTCATCATCTGTTTCTTACGCATGTTCACCATTCAGACGGCTACCGCACTGTTCCACAGATAAGAGCATGACAGAGCAAGGCAGAGCTTAAGCATGAATGCCATTGCTGCCGTGTGCCAGTTGCCCATGCAAAGATCCTGCGGGTTAGCAGATTTCAAAAAAAAAAAGAATCGGGAGGGACAGAGTGCCTTTTTTTCTGTTACATGTGAGGTGGATAACTCAAGCCAGATTTGACTTTTTTTTTAATTTAAGAAGTTTAGAAGTCGGACTTCAAAGCATATAGAGCGATATGTGAAAATGGATATGCATGTGTACATAAGTACACCTTGTGAGGTTTTTTCATAAGACTAAGTGGTTTTTTCATAATTTCTGTAATTGCAATGCCATTTTTTTTCATTCTGTTATACTGTTTAATCCTTTGAAGGACTTAGGAATTTGACATACAGTAAATGGTTTTGCGTCTACCCATATGCAGAAAATTCAATGATGAATTTTGTATATATGTATTAGTGACGAGCTACATAAAGTTACTGGTCCTTTTTGGCACTTTTCTGTTTTATTTGAAAGTTTTGTTTGAGGACAATGTGAGAGCTCCACCTGGATATGAATAATGCATTTATATTTGACAATGTTTGGCATTTGAGAAGCAGTAAGTGATAAGGAATGATCATCATAGTTCATTTTTCCACTCTGTCTTCTTTATCCAAAGGTTTGTTTTCGGGAGAAGCAGGGATGCCTTGTTTGTGCTCCTCCCTGAAGAATCATCTGATCAAGTCCTGCAAGCGGCAGCTTACATCACTGGCAGGCTGGCCCTGGAGCGCACAACACACTGGATTAACACTCAGATTCAAGGTTAGTATCCCGTCACAAGGACTTACTAGAAGTATTGCTTGATGCCAGGGTGATGCTTAACGAATGTTGACTGCTGCAATAAGGGATATGGTGTTTTGATACCTGAGGGACTTATCACACCCAAGGCGAAGCTGAAGGTGCTATGAAGCCCCAAGGGTGTTGGCTACGTCAGTAACTGTTTTGTTATGCCTCAACCATGAATACTTCATATACCTCTGGCTTGAACTCTTGAAGTGTCTCAATTCCATTTGAAACGACGAGTGTCATGGTCCATTGCTGCACAGAAGTAAAGAGCATGGACTTGGCACATGTATCTTGCTCAATTGCAGTATCCTCGCACACTAAATCACCATGTGAAGGACTTGTAGCAATGAATTGGGAAAAAAAATTGTCAGCCCCCAAAATGGTTTGATTCAAGGTTTTTGATGGCGGTTGAAAAACTGTTTAGCCAGCTTGGAAATGCTGTGAAGAGTTTATCAATCTTGGCTCCTTCACTGCAGCTTAGGCAAGGCATTGCTAAACCCTGATATATCTGAATAACTGATGTTCCCTTGCAAAGTGTCCAGACTGCTTAGCACATTCTGATTGGATAATACCCAAAATAGTGTGTTTAATATACAAAATGGTTTCATGGAGGTACATTTTTATCATATATGAAACAGATCTAGATAAATGCACTTTTTGTACAAAGAGCATGAGTGTACAGATTAGTTGCAAGCATTAACAACAAAGGATGAAAAAAGGGATCTCATGCAGAGGCTCATCAGTAAAGGTTTTGAATCTGTAATTGTGTCTTTTTTTCCTGTACCAGCCGCCATCCAGCAGGAGTTGAAAACAGATGTTGAAAAGGCACTCAGAATAGCCAGAAAGGAAACAGTTGAGAAGCCTAAGTTCTGTCTACCCGTCCACCATGACAGGGATGCACATCCGCCTTCGGTCGTGCTACAGCAGTATAAGGTACTCTAATTGTCAACAGTATTTCAGAGTCCTCAAAGCAGCTTACTAACACAATGCCTGTGGACAGGTGGTACACCTGCGTTGCAGCCAATAGGGTGTCGTGATTTTCCAAATGCACGGGCGTGTCAAAACTTAAGAATGGACATGTGAATGCGGTGCCACTGCAGTCACAATGTCTTCCCAGATTGGTGCATACCTTGACAACACCCTCATGGGCTTGATTCCTCTTCTTTAAGAGTTTGTTTTTACAAATCAGCCTCATATTGTCAGTAATTGAACTGAAACGGTAATATTGCTCATATCTGCTGTTTCTCCAGCCAGAGTTGTAAGCTGAAATCTATGATGCTTTCATTTATATCTTTGATTCCCAGGATGTACTCAGATATCTGCTGACCGGACACGCCATTCACCAAGTGACTTTGGATGAATTAACGAACCTCCTTGCAGCCACCAGACAAGTTTTGCATTCCAGACAGGCAAGTGCTGCCACAGTTGTGTAGTGTTTGCTGTGTTGCATGTTGTACTAACCCTAACAGTCC